TTTCTGCTTTCAGAATAATTTCAAGACAGTTTCCTACATTTCTCTCAGAAAGCAGCACTGACCATTCCTGCCAAAAGCCTGGAAGCCTGTTCCTTCACAGACTTCCAACTTCTTGAAAGAATTTTGCAAATTAAGCAACAGGCGCCTAACGCTCATACAACTCAACCAGCCGTAGAGCAGATCTGTTTCCCATTTCTAGTTGGAGTTTCAAGGACTTCCTTTTTCTAATTGCTTCCTTGGTTGCTATGTGATGTTGGGACCACTGCCTCCTCCCTTCTTAGATCAGGGCTTGACTTCCTTCTGTCACGTGGGATTCTGAGCCAACTGGGAGGAGTTTGGGGATGTGGGCTGCATCTGTCAGGCCAGCTTATCAGGGGTGGTCGCCATCATGAATTGCTTCTAGAATAGTAAACCATCCTGCTAAACCACCTCTGATGACTCAGTGGGATCAGTCCTTACAGAGTAAGCTTCCCGCCCTAATACATGGGTTTATTCATTCTTAAAAGGAGCAGGTTACCGTTAGGTCTCTCTCTCTCTCTCTCTCTCTCTCTCTCTCTCTCTCTCTCTCTCTCTCTCTCTCTCTCTCTCTCTCTCTCTCTCTCTCTCTCTCTCTCCAGTTGAATTTTCCAGAGCCCAGATTTCTGTTCTCACTGAGCTCTGTCACATTTGTGTTACTTCCTCTGCCATTTACTTGGGTTGCTCTGACCCACATTTTTCTTTTCTTTGTTCCTGAACAAAAGCTGATTTCTTTCTGAGGAAGTTGGAAAAGCAAGACTTATGTGCCCAATATGTTTCCCAACCCTCACATGAGAAAAAGGGCACACCCAAGACTATCAAAAAACACTCCTATACCAGTCACAGCGCCAGATGCTCTGAGCTGTGTCTTATTGTGGGCTCACTCGCACAAAATAAAACAGATTCTCCTAAAACAAAGGCTTCCGGTCTCCAAGCCCAATCACAATTCTAACAAAAATCTTACCATTCCAGAGCTTTGAATATTTTAACAAAATTTTAAGGTGGTGTGATTTTTTTTTAATTGGGGGGGGGGGGGGTTGTTTTACACAGGGCACTACATTAAGGCCAGCCAATCCTAGCAGTCTTTCTCAAATGGCTTCCAAATCTCAGCGGCACCTCCATCTCTTCCTGTTCACTCCTTATGTGGGTCCCTAAGTGTGGGTGGTTCCCAGCCGTACTGCCCCTCCATTATTAGTGCTATGATGATTATCATCATTAATGAGCACATGCCTTATCTTTCTCTTCAAAATGTTTCATCTGAAACAACCAGGTATTTGGGTGCTATGCTTTTGTTACTATTGTTGCAATTTGCCCTTTCCTCCTTCTAAAGATAGGTGTCTGTCATTCTGCTTCATCCATGCCCCTTTCATTTATTTATTTTTTAAATATATTTTCTTTGACTTCAGAGAGGAAGGGAGAGGGAGAGAGAGATAAAAACATCAATGATGAGAGAGAATCACTCATCAGTTGCCTCCTGCATACCCCCGACTGAGGATCGAGCCCGTAACCCAGGCATGTGCCCCTGACCGGAATTGAGCCCAGGACCCTTCAGTCCACAGGCCGATGCTCTATCCACTGAGCCAAACCAGCTAGGGCCATTCCCCTTTTAGCCGGAGGGCTGTAATCTCGCAGTGTTTATTTAATCCACACATGGGTTTGGAAAATGTAGGAAAACGAAGAAATGAACCTCGGAGTAGACTTCGAAATGAGAGGCATGAATTTGGCAGATGTGGTGATTTAAGTTAGGACAGGACACGGTTTAGAGAGCTCCTGAGGCAAAAGTGAAAGAAATCAATTTGGTGATGGGGGAATTTTATTCTAGTGAAGTAAGAGGGAAAGAGAGAGGGAGATGAGAGAAGTGCTCTTTGGGAACCACTTGATTTTGTACAGAGCAGGAAAATTGTCTACTCTTTGCACTTTGCACCTCCCCCACTGCCATATGCTTCCCTAAAGTTTCCTTTTACCATACTTGAAAGGACCACAGACTTTAATAGTATTCATGCATTTGAAGTGCTAGGCTATTCCCAGCTTCCTCTGTTGCTGCATTTATGATGAGAAGTAATAAAAAAAAAATCCAAGTTGTAAGATAACGTTAAAAAATGATTTTTAATGACAAAAATTTTAAATAAAAGGTAGTTTTTTAAAAAGGCATCTGACCTTAAATAAACTGAGGTTCAAGATCACAACCAGATTCAGGGGCTAAATATAGGCCAGCCTCCTTTAGTGTCTAGGCTGAGAGAATTTAGTAGGTTACCACAGCAAACACTAAATTGTTGACACTCAAGGGGCCTGAACAAGTTGAAACAATGTCACTAAAAGGTCAAGTTAGTATAGAATGTCTTGAATTCAGATGTAATAGTAAAAGCAGACAGGGTAAAGACAGGGAAAGTAATGACTATCTTTACAGAGGAATATTTGCAATATTATGTGTGTGTGTATATATATATTCATATGTGTATTTTTGTATGTATATATATTATATATGTATATATATATATGTAATATATATGTATATATGCCTGAAACATCACACTATTACATGAACGTGAGTTTGTGGGTGTCCAGCACTCAAAACTTTGTCAAGCAGAGAACCTTCCTTCCTCGTTGAGGGGAAACTATATTGCTGCCGAAGGGCAAAGACAAGACGGGGCGGATGAGGGGGACACTGACGGGGCTGCTGGCAGGAGCTGCGGCAAACCAGAGGCATATGCAACCCATTATTCCCACCAAGACAAAGGCTGCTTCTGCACTCTCTGGTTCCCACAACCCTCCACCGAAGTTCATTCCCTTTCAGATCCTCTCTATGGGATTTAAATTTATATTTGTGAGGCTAACGTTGGGGTGAGGGGATGGGGAGGGGAAGGGAAGGTGAGCAGTGCCTCAGGTCCAGCTCCATGAGGAAGGAAGGCAGGGTGCACAGACAGGTTTTGGAGCACAGACCTCTTTCCCAACCCGGCATCTACTTCTTACCCTTGTGTGGTCTTAGGCATCTATATATTTTAACACTTTTTATGACAGTTTCCTCATGCATACAATGGATTTCACATGGTTGTTTTATTTTATGCATTAGAAGTAATGTATATAAGTGACTGTTACCTAGCCGGTGATCAGTAAACACAGTGCATCCGATAACGTTGACTACAAGACCCAGAGCCAGCAATGTCTTTGTTTTGCCTTTTTACCTTTGGTTCCAAGATCATACGCTACACACAGAAGATGCTAAAACTGGAAATAGCTCTACTGGCTCCTGCTGTCCCTTCCTCTTTTTCACAGCTTCACAGCAAATGACAGCCACTGGCACTTCCATCCTCTTGGGGGATGCATGGATAAAGTGGTAGAAAAGGTGGGCAGAGTGCTGGCAGCCACTCAGCAAACACCTGAGCCTCTGACTCCTTTCCCCCACCTGTTCTGTTCTCAGGCCATTCCCAGCAGCACCCTAGGTTCCTGGGCCCACAGTACCCCCTGATGGCTAACATGGGGAACTTTCTTTTCTCAGTGATTCTTATCTTTTCTTAATGAGACTCCCCCAGGCTTTGTTCATTCCACCATGGACCATTCACTTCTCAGAAACGTTCTGTGGCCTCTGCCTTGCTATTTTTCTTTTTTGCTCAATTATTTCAGAAACATCTACCTCCCTTCCTGTTTTTTTTTTCCTTTTCTTCTATTTATGAATCCTCAAATTACTGTGGTTATGATTGCTAAGAATAATAATAGGATGAGTGCATATGGCTACCTTCTACACTTAGAAGTAAAATCAGACATCTCGAAAGTCTTTTGAGAAATTGAGAAGGTTTTTTCAGAACCTGGACAAAAGATGCTATGTACCTCCTGCTCTTTCTCTAACTAACACTGAACTTTTCTTGACATTTTATTGTTTTCCTATTTATTATTTTCCTATTTATTTAATGGCCACAATTGTACTAGTTTGTCCCCTACTGTTTCATTATAAATATAAAATATTTTCCTAATTTGGTCATAACTCAAGGTAATTCTTGTACAGTATTTCTTTCCTTTCAAATGATTTTCATATTCATAGAATTACAACTATTTTCTCCTTTAAAATAAACAATACAAATTAATGAAGGCAGCGGGTAAATACCACCCATCAATTTTACCAAAATTCTGTGAAAATGGATTTTCTACCTAATATAACAATAATGATGTTATAAAATAGTTGTGTGATGCAAAAGTTATTTTAAGTGTTCATTGAAAAACATTGAGCTGACATATTCACATTTTTCTGAAAAGATATTTGCTTTCTTATATACCTTTTGAATTCATAAAGTTTTGGAGGTACAAATTAGAACATGCAGTGTTAATGTTCTTGAAAGTATTACATTTAAATTGTTTTCTCAGGAACCAAAGAGAAAACACCAGAGGAAACATAACCAGCCTGAATTGTTTAAAATGTATTTTCCCTTTAATTAAATAAGAAACATCTGTCTAGGGATTTTGGAAATGAATGTAATCCATCCACACTCTGCCTGTACTAGTTTGCCTCCAATGTCCAATATTTTGAAAGAAAATTCTTTCTTTCTGTAAAGAATTAAACAGCAACATGGAGCAATGTCTGGGTCTTGCCTCAGGAGTTTGGGTACTGGAACTGCTAAGGATTGTCTTTTCCCAGATCTGTCTATGGGAAGCAACCAAATTCTCTCCATAATCAAGGTTAGGGTGTAACAGCTGTACTTCTCCAAAGCATCCGCTCACCCTGAAAATGCTCACCTCAGGATGGTGGGAAAACAGAGGTCACTAGGCTGTACGCAAACACTCCAGGTCAGAATATTGTTCCCTCTCTGGGAGTCACTGGCATTTTCCTCCCGCCCAGGCTTTAAAAGGCTGGTTTCTCTAGGAACCTGCACAGCCCACAACACAGACCCATCAGGCAGCCCAAATGAGTACGAAGAAACAGGGGAGTTGACGCTAGGATGGCTCTGGTTCTTTGAAACCAGGGCCCACCGTTGAGAATGACAAATATCACTTACTGGTGGTGTCGAACGGTATCTGCTTGCACTGCGCAGACCCCTCGGCGGGCCAAGGACAGTAATAGACGGCTCCCCCCTCCACGATGTCTGGCTGGCTGGTGTTGGCTTTGGGCGCTCCCACCAAGACACTGGCTCTGCGAAAGGGATGCAGAAAACTACTCCGTGGGCATCGGAACAACGCGCACGGGAGCTGCGGCGCGGGCCGCACGCCCACTGAGGCTAGGGTGGGGGTCGCGGCAGCAACGCATTTCTGAGGGAGCCGATGGTCAAACATTCGTTCCCCTTGGAAACCTGCGGGCATCTGAACCTGGTCTGGAAGAGGGTGCCGAGAGTCCTAATTCTTCTCTAGGTGGAGCTGCGTATACAGTGAGGTGAGGAAAGAGGGCGGTTAGAAAAGCCAAGGACCGACCCAGCTGCTGTGGCGGGCGGGCGGCACTGGCGCTCAGACCGTGCGCAGGCAGAGGCTGCGTGTAAACAGACCGTGTTGTGGCCGCTGCGTTAACGGCCTGTCTGTCCCGCTCCCCGCTCTGTGCCATGCTGGTCTTTGTACCTGGAAGTCCCCAGGACTGGCGCCTTCCCTGCAAGTGGCAGGTCTCTAGCTCAGCGTGCACAGCGCAGAGCAGAGGCCGGTGGCGGGGGCGGGACGGGACCGCACGCGGACAACGGGAGGGACTCTTCCCTCACTCAGGCTGCGGGGCAGACGCGGTCCCCGGGCGGAGGGCCACGGACACGCGCGAGAACTCCCGGCACCAGGCGACTTACGTGCGAGCCGCAGGGATGTGGAAGTCCACCGCGTAGCCGAAGTAGCTGCCCTCCGGGCCGCTGTACACCGTCAGCTTGTCCTCGTCCAAGTTGAACGCCTGGGAGCTGGGGGACCACAGCATCCCCAGGGCAGCGCAGACGCAGCAGAGGGGAGCGAGCGGCTGCGCCCGGCTGCCCCGGGGACCGCGGCGGGCCCCGGCAGACATCGCCGTCGGCCCGGCGGCTGCTCACCGGGGAGCGGGACCCCAGGTGGGGAACTGCGGGGATGGCGGCTGGCGGCCCCCAGATGCCCGCGTCCTGGGTCGGTGCGCGCGGCGTGAGCGTCCGCGGTGACAGCCCAGGCGCTCCGCGGCGCGTCCCCTGCGATCTGCTCCCCGCCGGCTCCCAGCCCGCTGGCGGCCGGCTGGGGGGCTGGCCCAGAGCATCCTGCCCTCCGCGGGCAGCGGGCGGGGCGGGCGCGCTCGCGGCGCCTCCTAGCGGCGGGTCCGCGGGCTGCGCGCGGGAGCCCGCGACTCCGGGGCCTTCCCAGCCCCTGCTGGCAGCCGGCGCCAGGCGCCTGTTTTGGCTCCTGGTTTTCTATTACAGTTGCATCTCAAGGACGACCTGAATCTTGTACGTGTCAGTGTAAGCCATTGCTTTTGGAAGGAATGCTCCCCGCGCAGGGCGAGAGTTTTCTCCAGTTTGTCCCAAAGGGAAGACGGTGGAAACGTACCCCACCACGAGGCAAGAGAAAGCGCCCTCTTTGCATCACCTCTGCAGTCTGAAGACCCTCAGGGTGGATACATTTTTTTCTGCCTGTGACTGAGAAAATCTAAATCCAACAATCTTCTCCTCCCCCAACGCCACCCCAGCTCACTGCAGAGGAAACTAAGGAACAAAGAAAGTCTCGAGATTTTATTTAGAACTTTCTAAGGCACGCCGGGCATGTTAAACGTCCTGGTACTAAGTCTTCGTGACCCTGTGTAACTGTGATGAAGATTGGCAAAGTTAAGAATGCTGGAATTTACAGTTTACCCTCAGCAAGAGTAGAAGGTAGAGGATGAAAGTGAAAGAGAGTCCAAGGGGAGTCTGAAGAATAATAAACAGTAACGAGTGGGCAAAAAGAGCAGGATAGGGTGTAAATGGTGAGCTCCTTGGAGGACTTGTTGAATCTGAGTTACTAATGTGGGAGCCCCAGAGACTCTGGAAGCATAAAAGGCAATTGAGAGCAGTGGTCAGTCTGGCGGAACAGATTTCTACCCACAGAAACGCTCTGAGCCCACTGAAAATCTGACTCTTTCTTCTCTCTCACATCAAAACCTCTTGGTAGACAGATTTGAATTTTATTTCTTTGTCTATGCGTATCTCGTCCCTATAAACGTAGTAAAATCTAATAAGCTATACTATTACCTGGCATATCACCAGGTCTGGATCATTTCCTAACTGGATAGTCCTTTCCCAGACAAGGATTTAAGAGGAGATGTACCCCAGCACGAGGCAATTCAAAAGTCCATTTGTGCGAGACATAGAGTCTGCTTCTCTAGTCAAGTTTTTATTGTTAATAAATGTGATATTCCCTGTAGTAAGTTTCAATGAGTAATTCACATGCAACATTAGCATGGGATGTTCAGAGCTGTGCAGGACATAGAGGCTCGGGAATAAACTCATAGTTATCATGTCCTGACACTGGCATGTTGAAATTCAGAAATTCGTTTATTACATGCAAGCCTTAGAAATGGAACATCTAAGTAGATAGAAAGTAATAGCATAGTCCTAGATGTGCACGTGGCCCAGGTACTGACTCCCTGGGCAGAGCAGCTATATATTAAACAATGCTTCAGTTTGTGTAGGGCAGCACGTCACCAGCGTATCCGCTTCATTACCCCCTTGCTCTGTGATATTCCTGCAATATTCCTTATCTTTTTATTTAAGCTAGGGTAGGTAGGGAAAGAAAATCCTACTTATTGCTACATAATTGGATACATATACTTGTTTCTTTCTTCAAAAGCATATTTGTTCTTGCCCTAGCCGGTTTGGCTCAGTGGATAGAGCGTCAGCCCTTGTACTGAAAAGTCCCAGGTTCAATTCCGGTCAAGGGCACATGCCCAGGTTGTGGGCACAATCCCCAACAAGGGGCATACAGGTGGCAGCCAATCAATGATTCTCTCTCATCATTGATGTTTCTCTCTCCCTCTCCCTTCCTCTCTGAAATCAATAAAAATATATTCTAAAAAATCATATTTGTTCTTGACTTACACACGCCTCTATTCTTAATAGTGTCACTTTCCACTTTACAGATGAGGGCATTACGGTTCACAGAGGTACAATAATATGCATATTCATTGAGCAAGTAGATGGTATGATTTGGACCCAAGACTGTTAGGTGCCAACATCAGTTCCTCATGCTATCCTATCTAATAAAAGAGAAACATGGTAATTGGTGTACGACCGCTACCCTTCCCATTGGCTAATCAGGGCGATATGCAAATTAACTGTCAGCCAAGATGGTGGCCGGCAGCCAGGCAGCTTGAAACTAACATGAGGCTTGCTTGCTTCAGTGACAGAGGAAACCAACGTTCCCGGCCTGCCTTGCAGGCCTCTGAGCTGGCAGTTTGAAACATTTTAACAAATATAGAAGCTAAAAAAAAAACCCAGAAACCAGCTTTCAGCGAGCTGGGACCTCAGAGCTGGAGTCAAAGCTGGAGTTATACATTGTTTCGAACTGAAACAAACCAGATACCTACTTTCAGCAGCGGAGGCCTAAGAGCTGGAGCCTCAGAGCTAAAGCTGGCCCAGAATTAAAAAAAGAAAAAGAAAAAAGAAAAAAAGGAGCGGTTGGGAGCTTCCATCACCCGCCAGCCTGAAAACAGCCCTCAGCCCCTCACCCTGACTGGCCAGGCACCCCAGTGTGGACCCCACACCCTGAAGGGGGTGTGACCAGCTGCAAACAGCCATCATCCCCTCACCTAGGCTGGCCAGGCACCCCAGTAGGGACCCCCACCCTGATCCAGGACACCCTTCAGGGCAAACCAGCCAGCCCCACCCATGCACCAGGCCTCTACCCTATATAGTAAAAGGGTAATATGCCTCCCAGCACCGGATCAGCGGAGCCGAGAGGCCTTCCGGCATTGGGATCAGTGTGACGGGGCAGCGCCTGATCGCCCTGCGGCTCTGTGTGTGACAGAGGGTGGGGCCACAACCTCCCTATCCGTCCTGCTCTGTTTGTGACAGGGGAAGGCGCCCCAACCTCCTGATCAGCCCTGCTCTGTGCCTGATACGGGGGAGCTTCCCAACCTCTGATCACCCTGCGGCTCTGTGTGTGACAGGGTGCGGCGCCCCAACCCGCCCCCCCTCCACAGGCCCTGCTCTGTGTGTGACAGGGTAGAGCCATAACCTCCCCATCGTCCCTGCCCTGAGTGTGAGAGTGGCGGGGCCCCAACCCCCTGATCGGCCCTGCTCTGTGGGTGATAGAGGGCGGCGCCACAACCCCCCCACCCCCAATGGGCCCTGCTCTGTGTGTGATGGGGTAGAGCCATAACCTCCCCATCGACCCTGCCCTGAGTGTGACAGTGGCGGCGTCCCAACCCCCTGATGGGCCCTGCTCTGTGCGTGACAGGGGGGAGCTCCCCAACCCCCGGATTGGTCCTGCTCTGTGCATGACAGGGGGTGGCGCCGCAACCTCCCCATCGACCCTGCCTTGAGTGTGACAGGGGGCGGTGCCCCAATCCCCCAATCGGCCCTACCCTGAGCGTGACTGGGGGTGGCATTGCAAGCTCCCGATCTGCCCTGCTCTGTGCATGACAGCGGGTGGCACCCCAACTCCCCAATTGGCCCTGCTCTGAGCCCGACCAGGGGCTGCACCTAGGGATTGGGCCTGCCCTCTGCCACCCGGTAGCAGGCCTAAGCCAGCAGGGCGTTATCTCCCGAGGGGTCCCAGACTGCGAGAGGGCACAGGCCGGGCTGAGGGACACCCCTTCCCCCTGAGTGCACAAATTTTTGTGCACAGGGCCTCTAGCTAGGTCTATAAAAATATATTTTTAAGTCGTAATAGTAAGAATAAATATTTCTAGAGTTAGTAAGTTATTCTGGGCTAGCCTTTGTGCATGCCTGTGGGTGGTGATTGAGAAGTGGCATAAAGCAGCTGTGTACTCTTTCGGGAGTGCTTAGAAAAGGGTTTGAATGGTACAGTAGTTTCCCCCTTATCCATAGTTTAACTTTCTGTGGTTTCAGTAAACCATGGTTTGAAAATAATAAATGGAAAATTCCAGAAGTAAACAATTCACAAGTTTTAAATTGGGTGTTGTTCTGAGTCTTGTGATGAAATCTTATACCATCCTGCCCCCCCCCCCCCCAGGATGTGAATCACCCTTTCATCCAGCATCTCCTCACTGTAGACACTCCCCAACCATAGGTCGCTTAGTAGCCGCCTTGCTTCTCAGCTTGACTGTCATGATATTACAGTGCTTGTGGTCAAGTCACCCTTATTTTACTCAATCATGGCCCCAAGTGTAAGAATCCTGATGCTGACAATGTGGGTATGCCAGAGAGAAGCCAACAAGTGTTTCATTTAAGTGAAAAGTTATGTATGTATAGGAAGACACATCGTATAAAAAGAGTTCAGTACTATCTGTGGTTTCAGGCATCCACTAGGGGGGATCTTAGAATGTATTTCCCGAGGATACTGTGTGGGGGAAATACTATACCTTGGTTTTCAAAGGGTGGAAGGAAAGCAAACTAACTCGAAGCTCTTCGACCTCCCTGGGAGGCCAGAGCCTGGGAGAGCAGTAAATCTCCCAGGAAGCCAGGACGTGGAGGTTGGAGAGGAAGGGGGAGCTGTAATAACTGCAGGGACAGGATAGCACGTTTTACTATTCTGACGCAGGGGAAGCATGCCAATCAGTAAGATTTAGGGTGCTGTCATTGGAACACATGGGCAGGTCTCATGCTGAATGAGAAGTTTGACATTGTAAAGATCTACTAGCACTGATTTATTTGTCAGAAAAGCACGTCTGGGAACTAACATGCATGTGAGTGCATGTGTATGTTTAATACTAGGAAAGGTATTCATAGCTGTTTCTCTAAAAAGAAAAGAAAAAAACCAAAGACCAAAGATGGAACAGATTTGGCCTAAATTCTCCAAAAGTAAATAAGTAAAGAGCACCATAGGGGGAAAAAATGATCTCTGGGTTGTAGCCAGGTACAAAGTACTTAAAAATAGAGATGTTGTAGCACTTAACCATTACTGCCTACTTTCCTTTTTTAACTCTTTATTGTTCAAAGTATTACATATGTCCTCCTTTTCCCCCATTGACCTCTCCCAGCCCACCCCCGCCCCCCAGTCCAGGCCTTCACCTCCCTGCCATTGTCTGTGTTCATTGGTTATGCTTATATGCATACAAGTTCTTTGATCTCTTACCCCCACCCACCCTCCC